CTATTTCTATCTTTTCTGAAAATAAAAAAAAATCTTAAAAATATTTTTAACACTTTTGTAGAGGAGAGAAGTTTGGGTTGGATGCAAAGGATAATTAAATGGAAGATAGATTTTTTTTAGTTCTAATACAACATGATTAGGGAAATAGTAAGTCTCAACATTACATAATAACATAATAAAGTAAATGAAATGTAATATTATTCGCCTAGTTTACTGTAGGCATGAAGAATCAGGAGGGGACCTGATTATGTTCCCGTACCATTTTGACCTACTTACCAGCAGGTTGTTTGGCTACTACAGCAGTTAAATCTTCTTGTGACCCAACTGAAAAAATAACAGTACAAAGGAATCAAAATGTGTCACAAGAGGTAACCATCATAAATTGACAGTAAGCATTTCTCAGAGATGTTTGTACAGTCTATAAGAATAGACAAAACTTTGACAGTGAAAATTAATAGAGTCAAAAAAAAAAAATCAAAATCACAAAATTTATAATTAATCTATGGTGGCATAATTTCTTTTATTAATGAATTCACATGCAATGCAATATTAAATTTAGATTGATAGAGATTTATGCATTTATTTAATTTGAACTTGTCAAGGTAAAGATTTCATGAAAGAATACACTAATTTTATTATCAGAATTTTAAGCATTTTCTAACCAAATGCATATACTAGAATTCTAAACTAAAAAACAATGCAAATTAGTATTTAGAGAGTGTTCCATCAAGATTTTCTCAGTAAAACATTCAATATTATAGTGAACTATTTGCAGTTCAACAAACAGACTTTATGGCGTCTTATCATAAATACTAAATGACCTTTCAATATATGATGTTTTAGCATACATATAAGTAATTTTCCAATCAAATTCTACTGTGTATCCAGAATTTATTACAGGATTCTATATGTTTACCTTTCTTTAAAGCACTAAGCAGCATGAGTTTCTGTTCTTGAAACTGTGTGAATTCTAACATACAATGCATTTTTCATACATATTTACATAATACACTGCTATAAAACATATAAAATTTCTTATGAGCATAATCTTTCATGTGTGTTGAAGGTGATACTTAAATGACAAATAAAAGCTAAAGAGCAGGGGGGATAAATATATATGTGTACATATGTCTGTGAATTACAACACCCAGGTACCTTCTTCATTGGTTTCAGTGGCCTTGACCTCTGCTACATCACTGACCTTTGACCCATCATGGTCATTCTCCTTGGCTTGGTGAATTTGTAAAGCTTGAGCAACCTGCCCTGGATCTATTTTGTGCACAGTAAACAGATGAAGACAGACAAAAGAAATGGTTAGCAATTAAATGATGATTGTCACATGATGACTAATCATGTGACCTTCAATTAAAAGTGTGAAACTGTAAGCAAGATTGTAAAGCAAAGAGAGATCAGCAACCAAAATCAGATTTTATTAAATAAAAAAAAAAAATGAATGGACTGCATTCACATTCCTATCTAAGTTAATAAATTGTTTAGGTAAAAAATAGGTTTCTAAGGGAGAAAAAAACTTACTCTTCTTTTTCTTATTTTCAACTGTTCACAATGCAAATTTCAATTTTTTTTTAGAACATTATTACTTAAAAAAGTTTTCTTTTTAATAGATACTTCCTAATAACAAAATAATGAATTGCATAATCTCCCTTTTGTTGGTGTCACAGTGTGCAAATTACTCACACAGACATCTCCAGCTTAGCAAAGCAAGGCAACACACAAACATTTTCTATATTTCTGGACTATTATACTAGTCTTATCAAAACCTGAGAGATTTCCCCAAAAATTTTATTTCACTATTATAATTTATGAACATTTAATTACGATAAAATTAAATTAAAAGAAAAAAAAATATCAAATCAGGAACAGCTTAAATAAGCTTGTGTTAAAGTCTTGTCATCAGATTTCCAGATGTAATCAATAAGCTATTCTACAACTATGTATCACATAATGCTTTGGTTCTATTCTGGCCGAGTCTCATTTAAACTCAACTATAATCGATAATTATATAACAAATACTAGTATCAATGTCTATCTAAGTATATATTTTCTAGACCTAAGTGTACATAATATGCAGGAGATGCAGTTAAGTGCAGTACTCTAGAGCCTTTCACCATTGTTTATCTCAGAGGAATCAGCAGAAGTGGTGTACACATAACTGATAAAAACTTACCAATAACGGTAGGAGGTCGCATTTTCCGGGCATGAACACTTTTCCTCTTGTTGGTTAAGTTTGGTGTACTCTATATATAATACAGTACAAAGCGTTAGTCAAGTTTTAGCATATTATACAGTTCAGGCAAATAATCTATTTTCAATGTAATAAGAACAATAGTATTTTAATTGATGCTGTTTAAGACTTATTTCTACTCTGCAAAGTATGGTATTTATCAAAGCAATTAAAACCTAAAAGTATGCATTTCTAAATAACTTTTTCATTGGAGAATATTTTTCTTACATGTAAATGAATTTACAGTTTTTACATCCCACAGAATAATTTTATTCTTACTGATACTGTAAACCAACTTTTATTTGCGTGCAAGAATTTTTGCGAGGTTCGTGAGAGGTTCATCATCTCAAATATTTATCACCGTGAACCGGTCCTTAAAGTCTCTTTCAAATTAAATTTGACGTGAATGAAAGTTGGTTTACAGAATACATGTATTTCTAATGCAAAATAAGGAAAACATGAAAAATGTATTATTTTTTAACTTAAATATAAACTTTGAGTTCTAAGATTATACATGTACACTTCCTAATCTTTGTTTTCCAACTTATCAAAGGCCATTTTTACTTGTGCTCCTTTGTTAATTTTATAATTAGATACAATATGGCAGGCCAAAAACCTCTTTCGCATACACTGTCTCTCTGTAGATATCAACATATGTATATGGAAGAAATTCATGCAAGATAAAGTTTTTAAAGAACAAAAAAAAACATTCTGAATGTAGCAGGTGCTTGAAGAGCTTTAAATGCATGTGCTTCTACATGTACTGGCAAATTTACATTATCCCCTGTTTTCATCTACAAGCATGGCTTAAAAGTGCTTTTAACCACTATGAAGAAGCATTATAATGTTATTTGTAGAATGAAAAAAAAATGCTTTATAAGCCCCCTTCCCTAAGTTTTCTCCTTCAATTACCTCTCTAGACACCTAAATAAAAACAGATTAATTTTAGAGTTAATTTGAGTAGATTTACTGATTTCTTACCAGGCTGGTTTATAATGCATTAGTGTATCATTTCAATGGTATGGACAAGTGTATCATTGCAGTTAATTTCTGATTCTATCTATTTTTTGTGCTAGAGGTAACCATGATGATTTATGCTTAAGCTCTGACTGGTAATAATGATATATCTGTATATATAAAGCAGTCAGCAACAGGGGAAACATCTGTGTATTAAATATGTATGTAAAATTTTAAATCTGACTTAAATACGTACGTAGGGGTGTGTCTGTAGAAATGGTACCGTGTACGCAATATACTAAAGTCACATGCAAAAAGGAGAAACAAGGTCACATGAGACATGATCAAAATCACAATGTTAGGGAAAACAGAACAATCAGCATAACAAATCATTTTCTTTTCCATGCATATGCTTTCTATAACAGAAGAAAAATTTAGCTCCTTGAATTGACATCACTTCAAAGAAGTCAAACAATCCTAGCATAAATCAGCAAGAACTTTTCCTAAGTAAGTTTCATTTTTATTATTCACATGTAATTTCTCAACATAATTTATAAATTATTTGTTATTAATTTTGTATAATATATTTCACACTCCATCTTTTAAACCAACATTAACAGTAAAGGGAAGGGAGGCAATTCATGAAACAAATACAACAATCCCAAATTGACACATAAAGCACATTGAAACCTCAAAAATCCTAAAAGTCCAGGTGGTTCTAAATTCCCCAACCTAGGTGCCTCCAAACTACACTACATGGACACTACATGGACTAACAGCTGCTAAACTCCCCACAATCTGAAGTGAATGTTTTACTTATAGATTTAGATAAAGGAAAAAGAACTGATTACGTGTGTATGTGTGTAATCTAACATGATGTAGAAGACAGAAATGAAATTATATAAATTTCAAGATATAAAACTTACACTGTTTTCAGGTACTTCTAGATTATCCTTTATTATAAGTTCAAGAATATGATAAAATTGAAAATGAAAATTGACAAGCATAATTTGTACCAACTTTTAAAGAAAAAAAAATTCAAAGATATTTTCAAAAATTGATTTATAAAACTAAGAAGAAACCCAAATCATGCACATTTCAGAAAAAAAAAAATTCTAAAAAATAGGGAAAAAACATTTTTATAAGAGAAAATAGTTAATAACTCACATGGCTGCTTTTAGATGATGCCTTTGAACAATTATTCAAAACATTAACACAATCATTGGTGACAATAGCTGATCTTACAATACAATAACTGGGTATTTTTAAAATCAATTTCCTACTATAAATAGAATTATTTATGAGGGACTTGCGATAAAAGTAATTAGGTTCTACTGCAAGCATACTCTGATACAGGATTGTTCTAAACAGAATGCAGACTTCAGGCTTTGTGAATAAGAGTATCCATCACTATCCCCTGCAGCAGTAGCTCTATTAGCCAGATCTATACCCCTCTAGTACCTACCCCCGGGGAGTCTGCTTTGATGGAGATCCTGAGGGGGACCTTCTCTGGTTCCTCTGTCTTCTCCACCCCCTTGTCTCTGGACTCGGTGGAGTTGGGACGATCCTCGGACCGCTTCTGTTTCAGGTGAGACATCTGTGAAGGCGAAATATAACAGTTAAAACCTCAGTGGCACTTTATTTCAAATACTCTTCAATGGCATATATATATGATTAAAATTAATTTTTACCCTATCTGAGATACAGACAACATTAATTTTTTTTATTTTAAAGAAATATCAGTTGTTTTTGATTGAATGCCATATTTAATCTCCTCTCAAACAATATGAGAGTATCTGATGAGATTTTTTACCAGTGTCTTGTGACTGTCAGTCAATGTCTCTATCACACCATCAATGACTGTGTCAGATATGTGGGCTGCCACTGCCAAGTTAATCTCGCTAAAGAAAATTTGTAATACAATCATTGTATGATCAATACCGATGACATATTCTGAAATTCCTAATTTTCGTAAGATTTTAATTTCCTTTCATTTTGAGGTTCGAAGCGACCCATAAATTTATGTCCACCACAAAATGTAATTTTTCAAATAAATTACTACTCAGCTATTTTTTATACCAATATTTTTTTCTCAAATACTAAAATTTTACCCCATGAAATATGATATAAATTTAAAGAACATTATACTGATGGTGTAATATCTACCTAAGTTTGTTGTAGATGTCGGTTTCTACCCCATCCATCAGGTGTTTAGTGAAACCTTTAGGTAAAGAACTCCTCTCAGAACACCCAGACACTAACTCGAGCATGAAATCCTGAAAAGGTCAAAATAATCAACCAATCAAAGCAGCTAAATTTCAAATTGACCAATCATCTTATGCCATTCATTGTGTCACAAAAACTAACCTTATTTGAGGTGACTCCTGAGCATTGATTTCCTGTACACTCAATCATGTCGGTGACTGTTTTCTAGGAGCAGAAAAAAAAATATGGTTACTGACTAGAATCACTCTCATGATATCAAATGAAATACTTCATTTTATAACTGAACATTATGCTAAATGATTCTATAGATGGATTCTTATATGACAGCTACCTTCATTTGGGTCTGTAGAGTTTCCTTCAGATTATCACTCAGATATTTTAATTCAGTCTCCACTGGGTTTCCTGTGTCTATTGATTTCATGGCTATTCTTTGTAAATGAGGTAGCAGCTGGAAAATAAAATGAGAGAAGTTTTCCTATAGGCTTACATGTATAATAAAGAATACAAGATGTGTTTGTGAAACATTGATGCCCCTATACGCAGCTCAAGGCCAAAGGCATAGTTTTTTCAAATGTCATACTCCAAGGTCATATTCATAATGTCAAAAATGTCAGACCAAAAGAGGTCTTATCACAAGAAATACATTAGAAAGTATGAAAGCCCTAGCGCCAATTATTGAAAAGTCATAGACAAGCTTAAAATTTTTATAAATTTTTACAAAATTAGGTCAAACTCATTGGTCAAGGTCTGGTAAAACATGTTAGAACCCAAAGAGAGGTCTTATCACAAGGAATATGCATTAGATACTGTAAATCAACCATTATTCCCATTATACACCTTTTGATTTCTGTTGTGTAACTGACCTGCTTGGAATTGTCTGCGTCCTTAATGACACTGGTGGCCTGATCAATATCTGTCTGGAAGGCGTCCGTGGAGCCCAGACTGAGGGCGTTAACAGCGTCCTGTACCTGGACTAC